GAGAGGCTTCACCAGAGACAGAGTGGGGAGCAGAACAGGCAGATCGACGAAGTACACTGCTGAGGGGAGCAGCGGGCGGGTCAGGAGGGGTCTGCCTCGCCATGTGGTCTCCTCCGGGGCAGGCGGGAATTGAACTCATGCGGAAGCAGCTTTAGATTCTCAGTGCGGTGCTTTAACCCGCTGCGCCACCAGGGAGGGCCATATGGTTGGCTTTTATTGAGCACATAATATGTGCAAACTAGTACGCCAAGCACTGTTCCTACATTTGCTGATAAAAGCTTGGTGAGTGAAGGTCTTCTCTAGACAGAGGGAATCATGGTAACCTGGGTCGGGGCTGGGTTGGGTGCAGCTTAGGTTTAACATCAAACCCGGTTGTCTATAGTCTAGTGCTGTTCACACCCTACCAAACAAATGACTTGCCCTCTGTTTGCTGTTGATGGAAATGCACAGAGGCATTACATCATAGGAGCTGTCCCCATTGTGCTAATCCATGACTCTAGGCATTTTCAGTTTTCACTAAGCCCCAGCTAGATGGTAAACTATGGAAAATAAAACAAGCAAAAGACACATCATCTTATACAATGAGTCCAAGTCCCTTATGCAATTTATAAATCCAAGAGACTGTGAACCATGTTGGCAGGTTTAGTTTTAAACTAATTTGGCAGAAAATATTGACCCCAATTGACATGAAAGTTGCTATCATCTCTGTCCTCTCCACCTCATTGGAAGATATATATATTTTATTTATTTATATGTCATTACTGTGGAAATACTAAAGGATACTTGTTATCTTTTAATTATGACAAAGAGATGCAGGCTTGCTGGGAATGTTACCTTTATGGATAGTGTATAAATTTGCTCTGCTTCCTTTCAAAAATCCAAAATTTGAACAACTTCACACACAGGATCTTCAGATAAATGATTATGGACTGTTACTGATAAATCAGCATATTGGGCTATTTTAAACCAGCTTGCCACATACGGGTGTTCATGGGCACACTGGCGATCAACAGTTCAGGAGCAGGGCCACAGAGAAGCTGGCCCTTGGTGGATTGCTGGGCCATGGGAAGTCGCTTGTGCAAATCCCAACGTGAGGTTCATGTCACATGCCCCCAGTATCGAGCTCTCTATGTTTGGCCCAACTTTTGTAAAGCCACAGCTGATTATCTTACAAACGTGTCCATGAGTAAGGGGATGCCGGGAGTATATCCAGAAGGCACAATTTCAATAAGTGTTGCTCACTCTTTACAGTGATCTGTTGAAGTCATTGGAATGGTTTTAACTCAGAAAGGCCATCACTGGTTTCTTCTGCTTAAACATTTTCTCAAAGAGCAGGTGAAGAATCAGAAAAGCCTTGTCAGTATCCTTCCAAGGAACCTTCCTATGTGTGTTTGACTACCTGTTTTAAAGCTTGATTAGAGGACATCTGGGAACTTGCGAAATCTTGTTTCCAAACCAGGAGAGTGTTTTACAAAATGGAAATGTTACTCAGTCTTTCTCTTTCATATGTCAGGTTTTCAAGGTTTAACAAGAAAAGATTGAGCTGGCAACTGAAATCACATATTTCTATATTTCTCAACTGTTTCAGTACCTTCTCAAATCTGCCACAAATGTAAGTTTCAGGTGATTAGGAGGAGACTAAAACATTGGAAATAAAAAGGAAAAAGGAATGTTTATGTAGAATGTCTTTTTCACTCTCATTTTTAAGATGAGAGTACACACCATGAATGATAGTTCAGTGCAATCAGAAACATTTATTAATCTATTCTGTGTTGGGCAGTGTGATCAGTGGAATGATGCTCTCCTCTCCTATCACACTGTAATTCTTAGAAACTGTGAATAT